TAAGGATGTTAATCCCCCCTAATTTCAGTATAATCTCAAATGAATTATCAGTAGGATCTTTGCACCAACCATGTGAAAGGTTCTGTCCTAAATGCTTGGGATATATCTAAATTAAAAAAAAAAAAAAATCTGTGCTTAGTAGATAACCTCCCAGTAAGGTCTTTCAAGGTTTGTAAATATTAGGGCTGGAGCGTGAATGTATGTGTATTTTTTGTTTTGTTTTACCAAGGAAGAATTACACAAAACCCTCATAAGGACTGCCTATGGGGAGAACACCTGGGGTAAACTGCAACTTTCTTTTTTTACCTTTGTATACCATTTAAATTTTTAAGTGTTTACAAATACTTTATAAAATGCCAATGTTTATCTGAGCAATGAGTAAGACATGAGTAAGACATTTTAAAATGTGTGTATTTAAAAAAATCGTAACGAAGATGATTGGTGAATCTGGATCAAGGCTCTATCCTTCCTCTGCTGCCCTGAGACATTCCAGCTCTTTCTAGGCGCATCTCTCTGGGCACGTTTGGTTCCTCATATGGAACACCAAGGCATTAGATTCGCTCTCTAAGGGTCTGTGCAGTTCCAATATTTCTCGATTCTTTCTTCCATTCATGCATTCAGCTGCTTTTGGAGGGCCTACAATGTTACAGGGGCAAAGGATCTAAGTGTGCCAATGACTAGCCTCAGGGACCTTAGAGTCTAGCTGGAAGGCTGATATTTAAGCAAATGATCCCATAAGAAAATGCACAAGTGCATTGCAGTAAGCGCTATGGAGGAGGAGCGTACCAGGACAGGGGAGATGAGCAGGTCTGAAGGCAGGAGGTGGGGCGGGTGCGGGGGAGGGAGGAGAGTCTGGGTGAGCTGAGCAGCATGAGCAGGTGTTAATGGGGGTTTACAGGGCGGGGGAGGATGGAAACAGTCATTAAGAGGAGGAGAACAGCGAACACCTACAGTAGGACTGCCAAGCAGCTTTGAGAAAGGCACACAGCATTAAGGGGCATTCAACTGATTATTTGCCTAATGAATTGAAGAAACGTCATACAGCCAGGGTAATTTTTTAAATTATATTTTGCTTCTCTTTGGAATGCCCTTAGAAGAACCCACTCCCTAAGATCTGCGTCATTAAGCAGACATCGGCACTTCAGATATATAATCTGTGATCCACATCTCTGAGCTAACCCTCAGCCAACTTTGTGGAACCCCAGGGGTAAAGAAAAGCCGCCAACTATTCCACAAGCCAGGTACAGTACTCAGGGGCAAGCGACAGTCACCAGTGTGCCCCAGGAACCATGGGGTGTATCTGAGTGCCGAAGCACCTGTGAAATGTAATATTTCAACCCGCATCGCAAAAGAAGCGAAGAACCTGGGAAGAACTCAAAACAGTAATAATAGTGGGGGGGCAACAAAATCATTTGGTTTCTCAAATGTTCACGAATTACAGTGTAAATACCGAGTAAACTAACAAAGGCAGCATGGGGGAATAAAGAAAAAAAAAAGGCAGTAAGCAAAACCTGCCTTCCAGTTATATGGAAAAACACTCTAGTGCCCCAAGTAAATAAATAATAAAAGGATATGGAAACAATACACCTTGAAAACTCTCGCCCCGCCTCTGTTCTCCTGGCCAGAAGCAGTGCTGACAGGTTTGCGCTGCTTGGGCTACATAGCCCGCTAGCATTTATTTATCTAACACCACCCGAGTCCCCTTTAACGAAATCAGGTAGGGCATTTCAACGACCTGAAGCCCGTGGGTTAGTGTATCCCATTATTTTACTCCAACCTCCAGCATGAGCTCCTAAGACAAAGTACCCTGGCCCCTGGACTAGATAAATGCTAGAAATAAGGGGTGCTCAGATCACACCATTTTCCTCCCTCCCACCCCCCCACCGTAGGAAGGCTCTTGAGACTATATGCCCACAAGGAAAAATAAAACAATGCATAGCCATTCTCACCACGCCTAGCCCTGGTTTTTGAAAACACCTCAATTCCTACCCGTTTCACAATGATATAGCCTTAACTTGGCCTGCTCACACATTTTCATGTTATTTCTTAAACACATGCTATGCTATCAGCGCAAGCAAACTGTGCAACCACTAGGGACGGAACAGAACATGAATAAAAACAAGGCGAAAAGAAACAAAAAGGAAAAAGGAAGGTGGAAATAATAATCCAGGATCACAGAATTTTAGAGCTAGAGGCGGCTTTGGGGAATAAAAACCAGGCTCCAGGACTTGCACCAGGGCAGACAACTGGTAGCAAAGAAGGATCTAGAAGGGTCTAGAAAAGTCTAGGAAGGTAAAACGCTGACTAGCTGTCATTTCTGCAGTAGGTCTGGAAGCACTTCTTAAGGCAATATTGCGCTCCTCACTGCACGGCCTCATGCCGGAGTGTGTCAGGACTGCTGAGAAAATCGAGAGCCATCTCCGGCCTAGGGCAGTGGGCTGGCCTCCATAGCAGCTGTCAGACCCAGCTCCCCGTGGAGCAGAACCGTCAAAGAAAGGATATTTAGGGATCAAGCCGCTTTTGCTCGGAGGTTCATTTTTCATAGAACGTGTCCTAGGATTTGGTAATACTTGATGTAACACGACTTTACTCCCCTTCATTCTTCTGTGAAAGCACAGAGAGGTTCACTATTATCCCATTTTACAGATAAGAAAGCCGAAGGTTAGTTTTGTTTTTCACAGACGGTGCGCTGCCAACGACTTGGCGACCACGACTGCCTTTCTGTGGTCAGAGCAACATCCCACGGGTAGCAAGTTATCACTAACAAAGCAGCAACAGAACCCAGAAAACCCTAATTTCTAGCTCATGGCACCAATCTGCAGATGAAGAATCGTCAAAGTGCGATCACGAGGACGCCTATAAAAATGCTTAAAAAAGGCAGTGACACATCATATCACCGTAGCACTGAAAAGAAAAAACAGCAACATCCACAAACCCTGAGAATCTGAAACCCTCTATGGAGGCGGCAAGATCAAGCAGTCGGCCCTGGGTCTGTGTCCTGGTCATGACCTGGCCTGTCTGGACTGTTTTCCTCACCTACCCCCTCCGCATTCTGTTTCAATCAAATGAGAACATTGGTGAAACAACACATTTTCAGTTGCACCAAAACTAGGGGTTATTATTTTAAAACACCCAAATAAATTATGGCAAATCCCTGTGGTATAACATTATAGTAGAACAATCAACGGTGAGATCCAAAGTATAAAATATGAAGAGAGGGGCGCCTGGGTGGCTCAGTCAATCAAGAGCGTCTGACTCTTGATTTCAGCTCAGGTCATGATCTCAGGGTCATGAGATCGAGCCCCGAGTTGGGCTCCGCGCTGGGCATGGAGCTAGCTTCAGATTCTCTCTCTGCCTCTCTCCCCCATAAAAAAAAAATACGTTACGGGACTCCACCTCCACCTCCAGAATTTCTGATTTGGTCTGAGGTGGGGTCTGAACATTTGCATTTTCATGTGTGAAGTGAGTGCTGTTTCTATCTTTGGGTATTTGCAGATTTCTTGGGACATCCTCTATTGCTGCTTTTCCTGAGTGCTGGGCATGGAGGCTGCTTGGGATTCTCTCTTCCCCTCTCCCTCTGCTCCTACTCCGCTCATGCTCTTGCTCTCTCTCAAATAAATAAATAATCTTTAAAAAAAGATATGAAGAGGGGCGCCTGGGTGGCTCAGTTGGTTAAGCGACTGCCTTCGGCTCAGGTCATGATCCTGGAGTCCCGGGATCGAGTCCCGCATCGGGCTCCCTGCTCAGCGGGGAGTCTGCTTCTCCCTATGACCCTCCTCCCTCTCATGCTCTCTGTCTCTCATTCTCTCTCAAATAGATAAATAAACTCTTAAAAAATAAATAAATAAATAAAATAAAATAAATAAATAAAGATATGAAGAGAAAAGCAAGTTATAAAATATGTATAACATGATGTCACCACTATCCATATATGCATGCATAAATATGTGTAAAAAAAACTGGATGTATCTACTGCAAATACAACATAACATCCCAGCGGCATTCTCTGAGTGGTGTAATTACTGGTGATTTGTATTTCCTTTTTCATGCTTTTCTAAGATCCATCTGTATTTTCCAGTGATTATGTACCAGATTTGTAACGATTAAAAAAATAAATGACTTTAAGACTGTAAACTATCCTCATACACACACTTTTGGTGGGAATGGGAATGGGAATAATTCCTTGGAGAGGTGATGTGGGCATATCTGTACAAGTTTACACTGAATACTCTTTGACCCAGCATTTCAACGTGTAATTATCCCACTCTCACAAGTGCACAAAGAAGTAGAAAAAAGGACCATCACTGCAGCTTGTTTGTAATAGCAAAAGACTAGAAAACTTAAATGTCCATCAATAGGGAAATACTAGTAAATCAGGGCACCTCTATTCAAGCAAATACAGCCCAGTAGAGAAACTCAGTTATGGACTGACACCAAACTATCTCTAAGATACATGAGTAGGCGAGAAAAGCAAGGTGCAGGATATCTGCTATCATTTGTGTAAACCTGCTTTTCAAAATAAATTCATATTCGGTGGTACATGTACAGGATGTCTCCAGAAGGTGCCCCCAAAATGATAATAATGTTGCCACAAGAGAGGGAAAGTGAGGGAACAGGAAAGAGGAAACCAGACGAGAGGGAAACTTCTTGTCATTGGATAGCCTTCTGTCTGTACTTCGAATCTTTTACAAACACAAAACCAAACAAAGAACCTTAAAATGTAAAAGCCTGGGGGGAAACGGCATCAATTATTTTTCTAAAAGTTTTAGTACCTTATGCCAGAGTCCTCTTCATTTTGAATGCAGCCCCCTAAAAAACACTGCCTCCAGTGGAAAAAAATACTACTTGAGGGACCCCACGTGCTGCTGCCGACCCGGTGCCCTCATGTGACTTCTAGGACCAGGTTTGAACACGTACGGGTTCAGCCAAAGCAAGAGCACTGTGTCCTCTGACAACAATTCCAATTCTCACTTGTATGCAGTAAATAAGAAATAGTTTACCTTTCAGCAAAGGTATCGAGTTTCCCCAGCTCATCGGAGAGGCCAACAAGGGAATCCAAGGTCCCCACCTAGAAAGATCGTGAAGAAGTTAGAGGCTCACACTTTATGGCAGAGAAGTGTAGGTCACTTTCAACAACAGTGCAGGGAGTTCTCTAACCTCCATCTCTCCTTGGTTATTCTTGTCAATAGCCAAACTGGAAAATGGAAAGAGCTGTTGAGAGAGTGGATTGGGGATATTTTCTAATTTTTTATTATTATTATTATCATCATCATCATCATCATCATTTTTCCCAACAGGATAAACTGTCCTACTTCTGCCATAGGAAGAAGTGACCACTGTGTCATTTTGAGACCCCAGCTCATTTTCTTCTTAGAATGGTAGTCTGCCAGGCATGTGAGTAATCCCCATAGCTGAGGAGACGTACCAGAAAGCAAGTTAAAGAAGCTGCCATTTCTGGGGCACCTGGGTGGCTCAGTCAGTTAAACATCTGCTTTTGGCTCAGGTCATGATTCTAGGGTCCCGGGATGAGCCCCACACCGGGCTCCCTGCTCAGCAAGGAGCCAAGGAGCCTGCTTCTCCCTCTCCTTCTGTCCCTCCCTCCCCCTCTACTCCATCCCCTCCTCTCCCCGCTCCCCAAATAAAATCATAAAAAAAAAAAAAAAGAAATTGCTGTTTCTAAAGCCTTTCTCCCCCAAGATGTCCAACAATCCCTGTCTCTGTTCTCCTTTGCTATTACTACCAATGATCTTGCAGGTGCAGAGGGTCAGCTCTCCCTCCCACCTCATCATTCATGCAAGTCTTTTTCTTTGCAGATTACTTGTACCGATCCACTTCTTAATGTGACAAGTATGAGAGTCCAAAACTGTATTTAAAGAGCCAGTCTACAGAATCAGAAGGAAAGGCTTTGTTTTCATGTCACCAACCACCAATCAGACATTCAAAAGTAATCAGGATTAACAGTGTGTGTCAACTATACTCTCACAAAAGAATACTTTTAAAAAAAAATACTTTAAGAAAGTAATTAGGCGGGGGGCACCTGGGTGGCTCAGTCGTTAAGCGTCTGCCTTCGGCTCAGGTCATGATCCCAGGGTCCTGGGATCGAGTCCCACATCGGGCTCCCTGCTCAGCGGGAAGCCTGCTTCTCCCTCTCCCGCTCCCCCTGCTTGTGTTCCTGCTCTTGCTATCTCTCTCTGTGTCAAATAAATAAATAAAAATCTTTAAAAAAAAAGAAAGTAATTAGGGGGGGCGCCTGGGTGGGTCAGTCATTAAGCATCTGCCTTCAGCTCAGGTCATGATCCCAGGGTCCTGGGATCGAGTCACACATGGGGCTCCCTGCTCAGCGGGAAGCCTGCTTCTCCCTCTCCCACTCCTCCTGCTTGTGTTCCCTCTCTTGCTGTGTCTCTGTCAAATAAGTAAGTAAAACCTTAAAAAAAAAAAAAAAAGGTAATTAGGAAATGATGAGGCCCAGTTATCTCTAATACGTTGCTTCTTTTCAAGTAACTTGATGTTAAGCATCTTCTGGCGAGGGTCCTGTCTCTTCTTCCCATCTAACAAGCTGCCTTGCACAGAGTGGTGAGTGCACACTGATTCCCTAACCCTCATGGCGGGGGTCACCAGACAAACAGGGGCAGGTCTGAAACAAGCAGCAACATATGGGTTCAGAAACTTACCAGATCTGCAGCCCTGGTCTCCTTTCTCCGCCCTTCCTGATCTATCACATGGGACTGGTAAGTATTCCAGATGATGCGTTTGAAGGGCCTGGCCCCCAAAGTACTGCTCAATGAACACTAGCAAATACAGTAGCATCACTAAGAAGATTATATGGCAGTTTGCTACGAGAGGGGCCTCTGGGCGGTTGGGTGGGGCCATCCCTTCAGCACCCACAATGCATCTGCACAGGTGTCATCGAAAAATGCCTCAAGCGTCTTCCTTTGGGGAACTTGCAATCTTAGGAAGCACCGCAAAAATTCCAGTCTTCTGAAGCGAAAAGACTTGCACACCTTGCTCCTCTTTCACATTTGTTTCATTTTAACTTTGTTCTCCCCTGCAAGAGCCCTTAGACTCCTATCTCTTTCCTGTCATATCTCTTTCTGCCATCCGCCCACTTATCCTTAAATTCCCCTCCTGCCTCCCCACCAGTACCAGAGGGATCCGGAATTTCCCACCCTGTGCCAGGTCACGAGTTCGACCAACGCTGAAGGTCTCCAAACCTGCACATTTAAACTGTATTGTTCGTCTTCTTAGATGTCAAAGAGAAAACACGAAGAATTCTACAACAACTCACAAGGGCGCAGGTATGTAAAATGCTCTTCCCACTTTTTGAAGACACTGCACCCACCACACCCATCTCTCCCTGCCCTCTGTCTGTAAGTCCATAGGAACCACAACTAACTTTGGGCTACGGTGTCAAGTCCCATCCAGACCGCTGACTTGCCCTGGGCATCCTCACCCCCAGGCTGATCCTCAGCATTGCTGTCTTGGCCCTGTTATTTTCTCCTTGGCTTCCCAGAACACACCCACCCACCCCAACCCATCACCTCCTTCATCCTCTCCAGGATTTTACCTTGAAGTCAGGAATCGAGAATTTGGTGTTGTAAGACAGGTTGGACTTGGAGGTTACGGTGTTCATCCTCTCCAGAGCTTGTAAATTCTCCTGATCACCAGGGGCAGAAATTAACCAAAACTCGGACATGCTTCCCACCTTCTTTTATCCAGTTACTGACCAGAACCACAGCAACATACACAAACAGAAACAGGAGACAAGTGTCAAATCTCTACTCCTTCACCACTCCCTCCCCTCAGAATTAATCCTCTCCAGGATGTGTTGCTTTTCCCATTCTTTGCCCCTTTGACCTTCCAATTCAGATTCTCTAGTTCCAAGGACACCATATGCACAAAGCAACGTGCTGTTTCTTATCTCAACTGTGAAAGCCCTCAGGGCTCCACAAAGACTCCCAAGCCATCCATAGGGTGGTTCTGACCGGTTTTAAGGGTTGGGGGAGGCGGTTGGGGAGAACCAGATTGCTGTCCCTTTAACTTCCCCCTCTCTTGACACCATAATGCAAATGGGGGAGGGGGGCGCAGCAAGTCCCGCATGGGGCCCTCTGAAATAGTTTCTTCGTTTCCATGTTGTACTTCCCGGGATGCAGGATGGGGTGAAGGCAGGAATGAGACAAGGAGGCAATTTCACAACAGGGGCTCGGACAAACCCCAGATCTTAACTGACCAACCTTGAGAATGGTGCTAGCCTTAAAAACAGACTTCAGAAGAACTTTATTTTTCCCAAATAGAAAGAAAAAAAGGTGGTGGGATGACTACTAAAGTCCTTTTTCCGTAGGACCAGGTGTCCACTCTGCAGAGGTGGGTAACGTGCTGGGCCTGGCAGTGTCTGTCCAGCGTCTGCAGCTTCCAAAGGCGATTAGTTCTGCTCATTCAAACGTGCACACACCCACACCTCTCTCCCCCTCCGCCCGTTCCTCCCTTCCCTGCGCCTCGCAAAGCGCCTCGGACGCCTAAGGGGGAAAACAGGGTGACAGCCAGAGACCCGTCCTGGAAGCTTTGCTTTTTGACTCGCTTAGTCCCTCCCAATCCCGCGCACTAATAACGCAGTTCCTCTCGGTCTCGACTGCTGATGGCCTGGAGACAAACTGGCCCCACGCGCAGAAGCTGGGGAGATGCCACCTGCCCGGCCCCGGGAGGGCGCCGCGGGGGCGCCGGGTCCCCGGCTCCCACGGAGAAAGCGCGGCCCGGGACGGCGTGCGTGGACCGAGGCGAAGCGCGGACCCGGGCGCCCCCGGCCCGCGCCTCTCCCGCCGCCGCCCCGCGTCCCCGACCCCGCGGTCCGTGCTTACCGGGAGCCGGCGGCCGCGAGGGCGGGCGGGCGGGCGGGCGGCGAGCGAGCGCAGAAGCAGAGCGCACGGCCGGCTCCCGGGAGGCGGCGGCTTCTGCGCCGCGCCCCGCCCCGGGCTTTTATCCCGAGCGGGGAGGCGGCCCTCGCCCGCCCCTCGGTCATTTGCATACCGGGCCTCCCGCCTCCCGCCTCCCGCCTCCCGCCGTGGCTGGCCCCGGGGTCCGTGTCCGGGCTGCGGCCGCCGCGCGTCCGGGTGCCGCGCGGGCACTGGGTCCACCCGCGGGGTGGGTGCCGGCGGGATTCTGGGGAGCATCGGGCGGGGGGCGGGCTGTCTCCAGCCCACAATGTAGCGGGGCACACCGGACGGGGACGACCGAGAGGAGCGGGCGAGGCGAAGTACCCCGCACGGGGCCGCCCGCCCCCCGCGGCCGCCGCCTCGCTCTCCACCCCCACCCTGCGGTGACCCGGCACGGGGGCTCGGGAATCATCGGGCGAGAGGACTGATCCGTGGGAAGAAGCGCAACAGGTCCACCTATGTTTGGGGCACTCACCTGGGCAGAGCACCAAGCCTTCCTGTCCTTGTGGGCGTGAGCTTGGCCGGGTTGCCGAGGAAACTCTCCAGGGTCCCACGCGCCCACCTCACCTTACCCCCCTTCGAAACTGCCCTGGCTATAGGAGGGATTTAAAATGTAGTGTCTCACTACCGCGATGTGGGTTCATGATCCCTGCTGCTTGGAAAAAAAAAAAAAAAGAGAGAGAGAGAGGGAAACCCCAGAAATTAACCTGGGAATGTTAAAACACAAAAACTCTGAGAATTCATTTTCTCTGGAGTAAGAGGAGGAAACGTGAGTGTATCCTTCCCTGTGGACAATGTTTTCAGTGGTTTCTGGGAAAGATAAAAATCTCAGAATTATCTTTGGTGGGGGGTATTGAAGAATTCCTTAAGAAATGAGCTCCCCCTTACTAGATAAAACTACTCAGACCATCAGCCTAATTGCTGGGAATGCTTTCGGAATTTGCAAAGAATGGTAAGGTGGAACAACAGATGCTGGGATGAGAAGGCTCAGATGCAGCACAGAATGGTGGCTTGTAAAGGTCACAACATGTCACACTGCAATCCTATTGTGGGTTCGGAATTAGCAGTTTGGAACTCCCAGCACCTGCATGGTGCATCATCATTATTGGGACACTCGTGGGCATTAGTCAGTCCTTGCAACATCTTCCTGAGGGAGGACACCTGAAACCAAGGGATAAGGAAACTCGGTGTGTACAGGGAGGTAAAAATGGTAATTCCAGCGAAGGAGTGGCCTGGTTGGACCTTGAATCCGGGGTCTTCAATCTTGTACCTGACCCAGTAATGTCATTTTTTTCCAGCTAGGCCAAACGGAATCATAGAGCTGGGCACAAACTCATTTACAAACAAGGGGAGGGATGTTCCAGAAGTTACATGAATTGCTGGGTGTCATGTCACTGGTTAATGGCAGAGCCATGAGGGGGGACTTAGGCCTGGGATCCAAGGGTCCTTTGCCCTGCTCCCAGCCAGCCCGTGGGAGAATGTGTGCTTTCTATTTCAGTCAATGTTTTTCTTCAATATTCCAAACCATCACCCTGGCTTCTCAGACGTTGGGCAACACATTTAGAAGTATTCCCGACTTTGCTGATGGCACCGTTCTTTCTATAAATATGGCTTCCTCTAATAAGCTCGTTTCATGAAATAAGAGTTGGACACAAAATAACATCTGGACATCCGATTAAAAAGTTATTGAGGACCTACCGTGTTCCTTGTCTTACTTAAAATCTTCCTACTCAAAATCTAAAATCTTTCTGATTATGGTACATCTTGGGCTTCTTGTTACACATTGGAATTTGTGATCGCTTGGCTTGTTTCAACTAACTTTTTTCTGCTTATAAAGGTAATTCTGTGCTGCTTATAGAAGATTTGGAAAACATAGAATAGTATAAAGAAGAAAGTCAAAAAATCACCTGTATTTCCAACAGTCTGAAATAACCATGTTAACATCTCTCTTTGTTACTTTTTAATGCGTATTCATATATACAGACTTAGACTTTGGGGCAGGATTGAGATTAGATACTATTCATAAGGTTTGGCATCCTTCTGTTGACTGTTCTTTAAAGATCAAAAAATTATCAAGCCTATTTTATCAGTGAAGGATAATTCAATGTCATCAGCAATTTACCCAGCTCGGAACTGGAGTCAGGTATATTTGATTTCAAAGTCAAATAAAGAAATCTTGTTGGACAACTTACATCTTAAATAAAAGGGGAAAAAAAAAAAAAAACAGAGAGAGGGAGGGAGAGAGATGAAAACAGCACTGTCTTGCCCCAAGGTTCTTTCGATTTGCAGTTTTCAAAGGCAACATCTGTACTCATCAGTTTTGAACGGACTTGTGTTATTCTGTCAAGTTTCCCTATAATCAATCACCTTTAACACAGAGAAATAAGGAGATATTCACCAAAAGTCATGGAGCCTCTTCCCTTGATATATCTGGAGAATACAGAACAGCATTCCCACTCTATAGGGAAAGCGGTTCCTTTTCATATATCAGCCTGAAGCAGCATTTAACAACCCGTGTTCAGTTCCTCCAACTGTCCCCACACTCCCAAAGTCTCTGAAATCTCCACCTAAGTGACTTCAAGTTTATGCGCCTTGACCACTACTTTGAAAATACCCGTAGGTTATGGAAAGTGCTTCATAGACACACCCTGAAAGAACCCAGGTTATAAAGAACACGATCTCTTCCTGGGAATAAAGGCAAGGGAGGAAAGGCTATCAGCTTGGAATCATCTCCAGGTTATTATGAATTTGGCTTTGGCTACCTAGTCCAGAAATGTTTCTGCAGTTGGCACTGGTTATGTATTGAGCCAGCTGAAGTCTATGCAAGACGGAACAGTCCCGTCAAGTTTGGGAACTAGAAGGACCAGGCTGGCCTACTTGGTCTGCTCTTCTCCAGCCTCTCCCAGATGATGCCCTTTGGATCTCTTTGTTACTTCGTGGAGAGAAGTAGGATACTTCAGAGGATACTCCTTACAATTAACGCAGACACATAAATCCGTCTGCAGGTGGCTCAGGTGGATTTTTCTAGGCTTTTCCAAGAAGAACCCAGGGAAGTTTCTCAATAAGGACAGCTCTCTGGTGGAGATAAATATAAGTGGAGTTATCAGCTGAGTCAGTAGGGTGTTGGAGAAACAGAGTAGCTTTGGTATCAGGCAATTGGATGAGCCACTTAGCCTTACTGAGCTGTGGGTTTCCCCTCTGAAAACAGGGGAGCAATTATGCACATCTTTCAGGCTTGTCCTGCAGGTGAGAGAGAATAGCATTGGAGGCACCAAAGACAGTGCTTGGAAGCTGTGGTGTGCTCGTAAATGTTCCCTTTACTTCCTGCTCCCTCTCTTTTCTGAGATGTTCTGTGGGGTTTCACACCTTAACCGTGGCCCTTATAATAATGCCTCAGTGACACCCAGCATCCTTCTCCATGGGCCCAGAGTATTTTGATCTGCGTCTTCCCATTCAGCCAATACCCTTGTGATTTAAGGACAGCCATCATGATGTCTTTCACTCTTTGGTTGGACAAACCAAAGGCCGTGAATTCTCATGATTTATTTGCTCAAGTGTACAGAGTTAAGGAGAATGCTCATTTAAGGGGTGATTGTTGTTTTTTTCAGTATCTGCAAGGCAGTGGGGGGGACGCAAAAATAAATCAATTTTCAATCTAGTGATAGAGAAAAGCAAGTGTGGTGAACAGAATTTTAAGAAGTCCTAACTCACTAAGGTATGAATACAAACCCCGGAGCAGGATGTGAGACATGCATAAAAATGAGGTGTAAGCGTTCAAGAATGCTATGATCCTTGTTTCACAGATGAAGAAACAGGACCAAGGAGATTAAGTGATCTGAGCGGGAACACAGTTAATGGTAGACCTGGAACTTGAACTTCCTTCTTCTACTTCTGAGTGCATATTGCTCAACCAGATCTCCAAAGAAAGAGTTACTAGCACTCCATCCATGATTCCCTTCCTGGCTCTTCCATTCATTAGCTGAGTGAACTTGGACAAGTGACTTGACTTTGGTGGGCGATAAAACAGGGTGTAGAACGTACCTGTCTTCTAAGGTTTTTCCAGGGATTCCATGATATGGCACAATGACCGGCCCATATTAAGTACTTGGTCAAGGCGTGCTATGAGTATTAGCTCCCTTAGATACTCTTTGCTTCTTTTCCTTCCTTTGCCTCTCCTTTCCAGGTGCCTTTTTCCCCTCACAGGGTTCTTCTGCAAGACACTGATTCTGCCCTGTTGTCAACACGTGGCTCATTTGTCACTCATGCTTCAGTCACTTCAAACATGTCTTTGATGTAGTTAGCCTTGGAGAAAGGAGAGCACAACAAGTGCTTCAGGGAGACGCTATAGCGATGAGCCGCGCAGGGCTTTGGGTTCTGGCTTTGGAACTAAGAAGATCTGACCTCACGTCCCGTTTCTGGTGTTTATTAACTTGCCATGGACCCAATTTCCTTGTACTCCACTTTCCTTGTCTATAAAATGGGGACTTCCTAAGAGAGGGGCACCTGGGTGGCTCAGTCGGTTAAGCATCTGCCTTCCCCTCAGGTCATGATCCCGGGGTTCTGGGATCGAGTCCCACATTGGGCTCCCTGCTCAGGGCGGAATCTGCTTCTCCCTCTCCATCTGCTTCTCCTCCCAGCTCATGCTCCCTCTCTGTCTCTCTCTCTCTCAAATAAATAAAATCTTAAAAAAAAAACAAAAAAAAAAAAACAAAAACGGAAAGAGAAGATGTGTGCAAATGTCCAAATGTGCCCGGTCCCAGCGTGCTCGTCTTTTTACTCTAGATCAGAGGCTTCTGCCTCACTCACTGTCACGTTCTTGGTGCTGAGTAGATGCTCAGGCAATATTTTTTTGGATCACCTAAAGCAAGGAGCTTAAATGCCCAAGACTGCTTGGAGAATCAGGGGAAGCTGAGTGAGAATTTTTTTGCTCTGCTTAAATCGATTCTGTTGTAGAAATTTTAAATGGTTTGACAAGGTCATGAAGATAGACCTCTGTGTGTGAATAGTGGCTCTGTATGTTAAGCATGAGTGACATCCACAGTCATTTAATT